TCGTGTTTTGTGTGCACTTTGGACTAAATGAGTTATTTTCACACCCTTGTCCGTTTAAATCTAAAACATAATAGGGTTATTATCTATTTTCTACCTCTTTTAATCAACCTTAAGTCTAAAAAACAATATGGTTATTATAAGTTTTTTTCTACATCTTTTAACCAGCGTTGTCTTTTTAGTCAGAACATTAAATATGAGCATGTTAGGGCTAGCTTGTAAAATAATTAATATATTATCTCACTAAAACATTTATACAAATAAAAATTTAATTTTAGCATATAAATTTATCCCTTGATATAAGAGAAAGTAACAGTTTACGTATTGTTGTTCGCTGTATAATATTTAATTATTATTTTATTATATAATAAAAAGGAATATTGTTAAATAGTGAGAATTGTTATAAAATTATATGAATTATTTTTTTTACAATATGAATTTAATATCTTTTTATGATTTGATAATATAACTATAATATATTCTTAATAATATAATAATATGAGATACGGATTTACATAATACTATGAATTTATTCCTTAATGTTAAGATATTGAATTATGTAATATATGATTCACTAATTTGTAATCTGTCTCTTTTTATATTGAAAATAATCATGTGATTGAGTAGAGATAACAATTATCTATAAATTCCTTCATTTAAGGAATAATTTTTAAATTGGTCCAAGTGTTGAATGTAGCCCGATTTTCTTGTAACTAAAATGAGAAGATATTTTGAATTTCAAATTTTCACTTCAAAACAACACGTAAATTTGGATGCATGAATTCAACAAAATCCATAATTTTAGGGGCATTTAATGCTACCTTATTTTATGATTTAAAATATCTAAAACTCTCTAAATATGGTATGCAATTAATTATGAGTTTAACTTTTTTTTTTATCAATTCTAGTAAATGAGATGACTTTTTATAAGTATAGATGAAAATAGAATTTCAAAATTATACTGTCACATGCCATATAAGTTGGCCGATTTTTTTTTAGAAACTAGTGTTGATGTGTTCAAATGTATAATTTGGAGTTCCAATGGATGTCAAATTCCACTAAAGCTCCACTCAAAAGTTACAAATACGTGGGGACAAATCGAGGTAAAATGGCAAGTTCATACCCCCTCAAAAAAAATTAATAAATTAATACATTTTATTATATAAATATATTTTTGTTAAAAGACAGGTAAAGTGGGCTAATTGGTTATGAACTCATTGTGAATCTATATATATAATTGTTGGCTCATGAGTATTTAATAAAACCTATTAAATTATACCAGTAATAACTTTTTCTTTCCAAAAACTGTTACTTTTTATTTATTTAACCTCTCATTTAATTAATAAAACTTATTAAATTATACCTATGTGGCAATAACTTTTTCTCTCTAAAAACTGTTACTTTTTATTTATTAACCTCTCATTTAATTATTAGATAATCAACACACTAATCACTTCAAAATTACAAAAATAATTTTAAACTTTTGATTTACTTACAGCTGACCATATAATGTGTTGACTATTTAACGTGATTAGATGTTATATATTGTTGTAGTTATATTTAAATTACCTTCTTTTCGAAATGCACAGGTCAAATACTAGTTACATAAAAGATATAAAAAGAGGATATTTTCTATTTTTAACTTTACACCTACTCTAGCAACAATTGTTAATGAACAAAAAAGAATCTATTTGATTGAAGTGTGTCCAAAGTCCAAAACTCAAGTTACATAAAACATATAAAGAAGATATTTTCTATTTTTAACTTTACACCTACTCTAGCAACAATTGTTAATGAACATAAAAGAATCTATTTGATTGAAGTGTGTCCAAAGTCCAAAACTCAAGTTAACTAATATTTGGTGATAGATAGTTATTTTATTTCACTAGTCAAGTCATCAAAAAACCAAATAATTTTTAATAAACAAAGTAACAATACAAAAGACTTCCTATTCATTTACTACAATATAAAGTCAACTGGAATATATCCCCCTAATGTCAATGCATGTCAAACCTACATTTCAATTTTGAGGAATTTACACTCTCCACTTAAACAATCTGTTTTTATTATATAATTACATCCCTTATATAATTATTTACAAATTAACTAAATTTATAAAATTTATTTACATATATGCCTAAAGATTTGATTTTCATCTTTATGGTATGTTTTAAATTTATGATATATTCTCATTAATTACGTCTGTCTCATCTCCCCCAACTCTCCTCTCTCTTTATCTCTTTTTCCCAAAGCAAGAGACTGTATGCCCGTGCCCCTCTCTCCTCCGGCGACCGAACAAGACAACTCATCGGAACCCTAATTTGAACCCCCAATCTCAGAGTGTATAACGCTCCTCTCCCCGTCGATTCAAATTCTAAAAGCAAGTTTATGGTGGCGCAGCATACAAAAACAATAGGTCATGGAGGCTTAAATTACCAGGTGAAGCTTTATGGAACCCCACCACCAACGAACTCAAAATCCTTCCTCCATCCCCCGTATCTTGGACACAAGGTACTATTGGCAATTCATATTAATTATTGAGATTTTTTTGTCCCACTCGAATAATAAATTGAATATATCCACAAGATTTATCATTTGCACAATTGCAATTTTTTTTAATTTATTTGAAACATTCATGCCCATAAAAATATATGGTTTANATCTTGCTGCAATTATTAAAAAAAAAATGATGTAATGAATTGACGTTGATTGTTGGATATATATATGGTTTCATTCTTCTGTTCGCGATTCTCTACTTTGATTCTTCTCAGTTGATAGGTGTGCATTTTATTGGGGTTTTCAAATCTTGTTTGAGCTGATTGTTTTCTTTTTTATTTTTTTCTTAAGATGCTGTGAAGTTCTTGCCAATTCGCGTTTCTCTATTTTGTTATATGTTTTAGTATATGTAGAGTGTATAAGCAGTATATGTTCAGTATATGTACGTCTTAGTCAGTATATTTTTGGTATATTCTGCAGTTAAAGATTTATAGTGAGGGTTTATAGTCAGTATATTTTCAGTATATTTTCGGTATATTCTCAAGGAAGTATATTTTCTGTCTTATTTTTTATTTTTTTAATCAGTTATTATTATTTTTTTTTAGGAAATAGCATCGGATTTGGAAGTGGAGGTCGAGAAGGTGAAGAGGAAGAGGTTCTCCAATGGGAGATTTACTTCAAGCTGGAGGAGAGCGTGAGGGGCTGTGACGTTGACTTTTTGTTGGAACTTAGACATCAAATAAAGTCCTAACAAATTATTCGTTTTATGTTTTGGTATATGTAGTATGTATAAGTAGTATATGTTCAGTATATGTACATTATATGTACAGTCATTACATCTTAGTTTATGTTTGGTATATTAGCTATGTACAAATTAGTTTGTGAACTAATGTTGTTTTTTCTGTGTTCAATGTTTATTCATAGTTTATGTTTGATATATTAATTAGAAGATTTTTTGTTGAAAACAATACATATCATTAATAAAAAAAACTATCAATTCACATACGTTTCAAGGAACGTTAAACTTTAAAAAACAAAACAAGAAGACATAAAATTTTGATGGAAGACATGTTTTTCATTGCAACATATACTGAATATATACTAACAAAAACGCAATTTATACCCACATGCACAACTGCGTGAGTTACTTTAGGCAATAATATAGATAAATAAATAAGGTCTTTTTGTTGTGTATATGTGTGGTTTTATTTTTTAGCAAAATAGTTTACAAAACATAAAAGTAAAATAAAAAGTACGTAAACTCAACATATACTAAAAAATATTCAAAAACTGATTTAAAACAAACATAAACTATTTTTTTTTTATATATTTATGGTTTATATTCAGTATATTTGAGGTATATCTACAGTATATGTTAAATATATATATATATATATATATATATATATACTCGACTGTGACTATATATACTCTACAATCGTGACTATAAATTTAGGATTTGTATTAGGTATAAATTTAGAAAAAAAATGGTGCAGTTATCTTATTCCTATTTACATTCCAAAGTGAGCATGACTTTCTTTTTTTTTGGCTAAACTTCCGGAAATCATGGGCAAAAAATAAGGAATGGAGGTTGCACTAATCTGTAACTGATTTCAGGCATGAATGTAATTAATTATTATTCATTAGGTATATACATAATTAATTTGACATGAATGATAATTATATAATATTTTCCTAATCGTGTGGCAAACATAAAAATTTCCCTTCAATTTTCAACTATGTGACACCACCAACTCATAAAGCCCAAATACAATGCCTTGTGCAATTATTTAATTTAAATGTATATTTGTTGAATGAACTTACTTTAAATAAAAGAAACAAAGATTGTTTTTCAAACACTTGTTAAAAATACACATGACAGTCATACAATTACTAGTTTTGTTATAATACAACTAAGAATAAAGACAAGACGAAAATTATTGTATGAAATGGCTAACAGTTAGACGAGTCACCTCAATCATACTATTTGAATAAAAATGCATACTTATTATATTAAATGTTATATTTTTATTTATTTTAGTTGTTAAAGCATGACAAGTTTAAATGGAAAAATGCACAATGAAAAAATAAACGTATGTTTGTCTAATGGTGAGATTGACCCAACAGATGACAAAACGATTACAAAATGTAATGATACAAATTTTGTCTAACACATATAATTCAACAAACCAAACCACAAATTAATTTGAAAAATTATATTAATGTACAAAGAAAAGTAGAGGATTAAAGGTACACACCATTTATATTATATTCCTAAATTTCTTCCCTCATTCATTTCCATTTTCCTTTTCTCACATTAAAGGAAAAAAGAAAAAAAGTAAACATCAGCACCGTTCAATAACACATAGTACGACAAATTAATCACACACTTTAACTAAACTAAAATCAACACTTGTTCAGACAAAACAGAAGAAGAATAAAAATAAAAAAAGAAAGAAAAGGAAAACAAAAGAGAGGAAAATGAGAGTGTGAGATCCCAAACCAAATCAACGCCAAGCAGACGCGACCGTCAGATTCCGCCCCATCCAACCAAACCCCACGCCGCCCGATTCCTCGTTCACAGTGAATCCTGGGTTGCCACGTGTCCCGGAGTTCACCTTCGCCCTCAGCGATTCCACCACGAGACGACTCACCTGCCTCGGCTGGAACCCGGCCATGCCCATCCGGGCCTGCCACTTCCCAAACACCTCGCACCTCTCGACCCGGTCCATGCCCTCGCAGGCCACCGCGTTGACCATCCTCCGGCCCAGCCCCTCCTCGATCCGGACCCGGTCCGGGCTGTCCCGGGCCAGAGTCAACTCGAGCGAATCCAGCAGCAGCCCGTAGTACTCCCACGCGTCCCGTACACGCGCCGCAAGCGTGGCCGTGTTGGTGTTCACCTCCTGCTCCACCACCGCCACGACCTCCGGCGACAACCCCCTCACTTGTCGGAGCATCTCGTCCCGGAGATTCTCAGTCGTCACGCTCTCGTCCGGCAGACGGTACAGCCGGAACGCGAAGTTCACGGCCAGGGCCTCCCCCTCCCCCTCCGCAACTCCCAGCCTCTCGCGCGTCAGCTCCACGATTTCCAGTTTCTTCACGCTGAACACCAGCCGGACCCCGATTCTGTTCGCCAGCGCTCGGAGGCCCTCGCCGACGATATTCAATTTCTGCTCCGCGCCGGCGCCGGCGGTGAGGTTGTCCAATACGGCCGTGATCTTCAGGGACGCGCCGTGGCGCGTCTGGGGTTCGGCTGCCTTCACCTTCGCCGCGAGCGCGTGGAGCAGGTGCACGTACTGCCCGCCCTGCCCGATGTCGAAGTCCACGACGTGGATTCTCCTCCCCAGCCCCTGCTCCGCCGTAGCCTCCAGGATGGCCAGGTTTGCCGCCATGAACCCGAGCTTGAAGGGCGGCGAGGCATCGTACAGCATCTGCGCAGCCGCTGCGCCCTCCTTCCCGTGGGTCTCCGGCGCCGGCCTCGCCGGGCCCACGCGCGGCATCAGCGCCGCCGCCATGTACGCCGCGAGCCGCTGCTCGGGGGTCCCCTGCCGGTTCGCCGCCTGCTGGAGGACGCGGGCGAGCATCTCGGCGGCGGCCGCCGGGCGTCCGTCGGAGATCGCGGCGGCGGCGTCGACGAGGGCCTGCTTCGGGCAGGGCAGCGGCGGTGAGGCCGATGTGGAAGAACAGGAAGAGGACGAGGAGGTCGGAGAAGGGGAGATGGGCTTTCGGGCCGGGCCGATCAGGCCCTGGATAGCGTCAGACCACTTGCTGTCGGTGACGGCGGAGGCGACGGTGTCGCTGTCGTCGTCGTCGTCGTCGTCGCCGAGAAGCTGCTTTTCGAGCTCCTGCAGCTTGTGGCTCATCATCAAGCTCTTTTCCGACTGATCTCTGGCAGACTCCTCCTGGCCTGAGCCCGAATTCGAACTACTTACATTAGGACCCGGAATTGGAATCGGAGCCCCGACCGACCCATTAGTGCCGCCGTTTCTGTTTAAAAGTGACAGGGGCTGCAGGCGGTGGTGATTTAGGATCGAAAGGCCGTACCATGGGTTGCCGGAGGACATCTCCGGGTAGCTGCCGGCGGGCCTCTGCTTCACGTTCCGAGGATAGAATCCCATCCCTTGATTTTGCTGCTGGAACTCGGCGAGCGACCTCTTTCCGATGAAGTCGGGTCGGCGGATCTGGGCCGTCGGGTCGAGCGGGAGCCTGGCGAGCGGCGAGCGGAAGGAGAATTGCTGCTGGGAGTTGAGGTTGGCGTTGAAAGCGCCGCCGCTCATGATGTTAGGCAGAGCGCGGCCGCCGGAGTAGAAGTCCGGGACGCCGCCGGGAAAGCCGGAATTCATAAGAATATTTTCTACAAGGGAAGGAATCTGTGCATTTAGAGAGAGGGAGAATTTAGTGCGTTTTTTTTGGGGGAGTTTGTAGAGAGAGAAAGTAAGGTGGTATTGAGTGTTTTTTCAATCTAAAGGTGCTTTGGATTGATTCTTGTTGTCACTATTATTATGAGGCGGAGGATAAATAGAGTAGTTTTCGGCTTCTCGAAAATTGAATGGGAGCATTAAACTAATGCTATGTTTGGTTGAAGGAATTAAGTCCTATTTGATGTTTTTTTTTTTCACCTGGGGTTATAATTTGGGGAAATGCTGAGGTCCCGTTACGGTACCATCTCGCCAAGTGTTTAAACTATTGGATCACATGTAATTTGTATAAGATAGATAATTCAACGCTTAAAACACTCGACGGGATGGTACTGTAACGGGACCGTAGTCTTTCCTATTAATTTGAATTAGTGTTAGGACTTCAATTTGAAATTCAACCCACTTTTTTTTTATTATTTTAATTTCTGTACTTCAAGCCATATATTGGATCATTCAGCTATTTTCTATCAGTTAATTCACTTTTTTTTTTCATTTTACAATTTAATTCATTTTTGAATTCTATTCATAATGTAAAAACAGATAATAATCAACGTTTGATCACAACTTAATTAAGAGTTAATCCTATTTATTGGAGTTACCACCACTGCAATCTCATTTAATATAGCACCGAATGCATTTATGATTTCCTTAGTGGGTTAAACTGAGGTACACAATCATTTACTTGATGAATTCTTTATGTGGTAGTGCCAAAGAGACTAATTTGAAGAGTATTGGTATACGTGCCATAAAGACAATTTTTTGTGAACATATATACATAACTCCATTATAATATTATACTTTCTCCTAAGTGTTGTTTTGGGAAGTTGCACACTAATTAAGAATTATTCTTTTGCCAATAATAACCCTCATTAATGAAGATAGAGATGAATGTTTAAAAAAAAAAGATGAAACGAATATGAAAAGTCGTAGTGTATTTATTAACTAAATGATGTTAATAATGAAAAAATATATACAAAAGATCCAAAACGATATTTATTTTAGTTAATAGTTGATAAACCCAAAATGACATTTAAAAAGAATAGGAGATAGTATTAGATTATAATTGTGACATTGCAATTAACTAAAAAATTATTTGATTGTTTACAATTTATAGGTAATTGCTCCATTGACTTAATGATGTCATTAACGGAGTGATATACTAATTGATAAAGTAAGATAAATATTATTAATACGCAATAGATTGACACGTGGTCTGCATCATATTCTTGAAGAATATATATGTCTCACTGCTATAAATAATTGTTATTCGTGATAGACACATAGATACTTTATATCAGTGTTTTAAATATCGTACCGGTGGTCATACCAGTCTAGCCACCGGTACACAGTATTACCGGTCGGACCGATAATATCGGTGGTATTACCAGACTAACAAATATAATTATATATATATAAATATACATAAAAATGTATAATACTAAATGCAAAAAAGTATAAAAAAAATAAATGACCATAATCATTAATTTCAACTTCTCAATGAGGTAAAAATAAAACATTCTAACTACAATTTAAATTTTACGTTTTTAAGTTAATAATTTTTATTTATTTATTTTTTTGTTGACTGGTATTTTGGACCGGTATTTTTCGGTTTTTACGGTATGACCCCGGTACAAATCGGTATAACCGTAAATCCGGTATTTTGTGTGTAAATGTACCGTGCCAATGGCCGGTATCCAGTATTACTGGTATTACCGACCGATACGGTACGGTATTTTAATCACTGCTTTAGAGAGTATTGGAATACCATACCGATAAACCATTTGTTTATGCGTCTATGGAGTATCGGTGTGTGGATTGATAAAATAGTTCATTTGACTTAAAATCAATACACAATTCATATATAGAGTAATTTACTAAGCGTAGTCCAACGCTTACATTTCTTTTGGGGTAGATCCGGTACAAATCGGTATAACCGTAAATCCGATATTTTGTGTGTAATTGTACCATACCAATGACCGGTATCCAGTATTACCGACCAGTACGGTACGGTATTTTAGTCATTGCTTTGGAGAGTATTCGAATACCCTACCGATAAACCATTTATTTATGCGTCTATGGGAGTATCGGTGTGTGGATTGGTATAATAGTCCTTTGACTTGAAATCAATACCCAATTAATTAAAACCTACCATTAAGATGAGATAAAACGATTAAAACCAACGCTTGTGTTGGGTTGATCACAATATACATGGAATTGGTAGTTGAACTAAGATAAGATTCATTCATCGAATATAGTTTTGAGAAAACACTCATTTTCTCTATACTGGGTTGATCATTGACCAATGGACATGATTATATTTGAAATAGTGTTAAAATATAATTAATTAAAACCAACCACTAAGATGAGATAAAACGATTAAACTGTTTGGATAGACACACGTTGTTCATATGTGATTTTACACCATATTTATATAGTATCTAGAGCTTATTCATTGCATTATTGGTGTATAAATTGCATTATGGTGGTTTTATTCTATTCTTGTTGGAAAGGTATTACACGTGCTTGTTTTGTAGATATTTACACATATTTGTAGAGCTTTTGGCTATTGGAGGTGCATGAAGACTACCTAGGAATCCCGGGATGATGAAAGATTGATGCAAGGATGAAAAATAGAAGAAACAAGTGAAACAAGCAAGAAAAGGAGTGTGCAGAGCTGACACGGGCACTATGACCGTGTCAGAGGCCGTGTCACCTCAACAGAGAGATTTCGAAGCCCAGGCACCTAACACGGGCTTCGACACGGACGGCGACACTGGCAGACTGGCTGTGTCGCGCGTAGGCTGGTTTTTATTTTGTGCCTAATTTAAAAAGGAGAAGGGTTTTGGACATTATAAAAGGGCATATTCACCCTATTTTGAGAGAAGAACGTGGGAGACACAAGAGAGGAGCCCTAGAACACACAAGAGAAACAATTGGGAAGCAAAAAAAGATCTAACTACGAATGAATCAAGAAAATTGAAAGATCAACAAGATTTGTAGTTTTTCTTTCTTCTCCCTTTTGAACTTTTATGATCATGTCGATCTCTAATATATCTGTGTATTTGAATTCGAACATGAGTGGCTAAATTATTTGATTCTAGGGCTTGATAGTAGATTAATATGTTGGGATTTGAATGATTTATTTATAATTAATTGTTTTTCTTTTGAACCCTATTCAAATATTTTATTCTTAATTCATGTTTAGCACTTGGCCAATGTTTTTACATGTTTGAAAATATTGTTCATAATTCGAGAGATGAGTTCAATATTAGGTCTTTAATATTTGACACAATTTACTTGCTTGAATCGAGAGATTAGTAGGTCGTTGTGAGGATATTAGATCTTTTAATCTATTTGGAGTTGAATTGCATGTGTTGAGTGGAGACGCTAATATATGTGATTTAATCTACGATTTTATCGATCTTGAGAGGGTCGATAAGCTAAATTTGTGATCATCTTATAGGAGAGATAAAGAAAACATTAGTTGTGATACTTTTGAAGGAACCCAACTGTTAATTGAACACACATTCTTAGAGTCTATCATTCCCATATATTTTCTCACGTGTTTCTCTAGCTAGTTCTTGTTTTTGATTGATTATATTTCGATTATATTTTCTTAGTTTAGTTAATCCATCTCATATTCGGTCGTCTAAATAAAGTTGACACTATCATAATCTAGTAATTGATACAATAATTATTTGGTCTCTTGGGATACGACCTTACTTGCCACATACTACGAGTGAAGTTGTACAGTTGCGGTCAAGCTTTAAAAATATAGGCGAACAAGTTTTTGGCGCCGTTGCCGGAGACCAATATAATTATTTGTATCAATATTATGATAGATAGTGTTAGTTTTAATTTAGACATTTTTTGTATTTCTTGCTAACATTTTTTTTTTTATAATGGATGAGGATGCGATAGACTATGACTGGCGTAATGATCCCAAATATTTGGAAGAAGATAAAAAGTGGTTGGAGGAGTGTTTGATCTATCAGTTAGAAGAACTTAAAAAGGTTGAGTTGGAGTCAAAGCGTCGTAAGAGAGAACTTGAGGAAAGAGGCATTGGGTGTTATGAATGTGGTTTGTTGTTGTCACACACACCGGGGAATTGTCCTTTTCTCAAGTTTACCTCCTATATCGCAAGACCAGCTTGATTACATTCCTCCATGTTTTTTGCCATTAGATAGTGCGCCAGAAAATTCTATTGTTACCGAAGAACATGAAGAAGAAGAGGATGTTGCCTTAGAAATTAAATCCTCTAAAGTTACTCTCACTGAAGGGGTGATTCAAGAGACATTCTTCGATTCTGAATGTTTAAATATTGAATTTGTTATTCCATATGATGAGAAGGTTGAAGTCTTTGTCATTCAATTTGAGAGAGATTGTGATGCTAAACTTGGTGAACACACGTTCAAGTCGTAAGCTTAGTCAAGTGGTTCGTAAATGAAGAGACTGTATCACCATTGAGTTCTACACTAAAAGTTTGTCTATTTTGTCCATGTAAACGTACTTCATATTTTGAGTTCATCCTTTGACGCAGTTTAGGAGTTTTGTAAGGATCGTAAATTAGATTTATGTCAATATATGAAGGGTTATAGGGTCACACAATATGCAATCAGTTTCCTGACTAAGAGCGAATCGAGAGTGATAAATATTCAATTAGACTGGAATATTTGTTTATGATTAATGAGATTATTTTCTATTTGATAAAAAATATTTAGTTAAATTAAATTAGATTTATACTTAATTAAATTCCTAATTGGATTAGGTCCAATTACCTATTGGGCTATAGGATCTCCTAAGGTCATATGATTAGGTTTGACCTAATTATAAATACATCATTATCTCTTCATAGACTTTCATCGATGAATAACAGAAACTTATGAGAGATTACAAATCTTAGAAATTGAGAGATCAACATTAAA